AAAATGGGTAATTGTAAACGTGTCATTGAATTGACACAAAGTTCCAAAATAAATTTTTTTGGACTCCATGGCTCACACCAAGCCATCCAATTTAATATCCAATGAGAATGATTGTAACATCCATGTAAAATAAATAAATTGTCTCTTTTCCCTCCCATAATTAGGAGTAGGAGAAAAAGATGATATAGCCCTCTTAAAACATTTAAATACTTGTAAATATTTGTAAAACTAGTCTGAAATGATTTTTAAAAGCATGAAAACTCGTAAAAAAAATTATTTTTTTGCATGTGCCAGAGAAATTTTTATTTTTATTTTTTATAGAAAATAAATAAGCAAATTCGTTTGATATACTAGTCAAGGGAATAACAATGACTCCAACAACATACATAACAAGTCAAACTAAAATTCATAAGTAAAGTTTAAATTATTTTTTTAAAAAAGTTGTACATTGGTCACCACAATCGTATTCATCTTTGCTCGGACATTGATGATAAGCCTAATTAAGATGCAACTGTGGGCGTTGAGCTTGAACTTGAGTGGTCAGCATTTGAGATTAATAATGCTATATTTTGAGCTCGATCCCAAACTACCTAAAAAAAGACAACTACATTTGAGCTTGCAAACAATAAATTTCATGAAAGGTTCGAAAAGGGCTAGGGTAGCTCTGGTCCGGCCCTTGTCTCCATAGGGCTGACCCAAGTGTTGCTCGACATCAGAAGGCCAGGGCCGGGCTGGGCAAAAACAAATGAAGAAAAAAAAAAAAAAGAGGCCCAAGCCTGGCCAAACCGGGCTGGACCAAGCCCTAATCCAACCCTCATGCCATAATTTGTAGCCCAAGCCCTATTTTTTTTTAGAGCAGGCCACCCGGCCCAACTCCAGCCCTAATTTCATGGTTCGTTCAACAAGAAGTGGATTCACAATTTTGTGCTTCCCATAAAATATTTTATTCTCCTCTCTCTCTCTTACTCTCATAAAGTTGTGAAAATGGGGGGCTAACGCATATCACGCACTACCAAAACATAATTTATTAGTCGACATGGATGTCGAAGGCTGTCCAGGTCTGAGAATAATAATAACGAGGTCCATAATGTAAAATCGCATATTTGATGCCATATAGGGGCATCGACTCACATGCAACAAAATGGAAAAAATAGCCCATTCATATCTAAGAATGGCCAGAACAACCCTAATGTTGCCCTAAAACCTCCCTAATCAGTCTCCTATTCCCTTTTTACTGCAATTGCGGGTTTTAAAATTCGTTCAGAGTCGTAATCAAATTTGGAACGGATGGTGCACAATTTGGTTAGGGAACTCTATCATCGTTCATTCTCCTAATTTTTGTAAGTTTTTAATTTTATTTTCATATCCATACACCGCTTCCAAATTGATAATCGCCTAATCCAAAATTTAGAGTTGCCTGATTCAGTGAGACAAAATCTATATCTAACGATTTTGGGTCTGATTCCACCTTCTAAATCAGTATTGTGAGTGCTTTAAACATTTAAAAAAAACGTCCAATCCTAATTGGTTAGTGCTTGACAATTTCAACGTTATATCTTAAACTCAATTCCTATCAAGAGTAAAAGCTCTCTCCCAATCTAATGACCCCGAAAAAAAAACAATATCATTTTACCCTAGGTGGACGGAGAAGGGCAATTCAGTCATATTATTAAAAAAAAAGGCAGGTATTGAAATGGTATTTTAGTCAATTTACCCAAAGACGGGGTGGTGCTGGTGGGAGACCTACAGCCATGGGAGACGGAGGAGGTGGGCCCTTTGTGGGCCGGTACACGTTCACTTTACGGTGGTCCTCCGAGCTAAACAAACCTCCATTTTCTTTTATTTTTTCCTTATTTTTTTTTTATAAATAATAAGTAATAAATATAAAATAAAACCTAATTTTCTTATGGGACCTTAAAAAACAAGATATGGTTTTGATAAGGCCTAGGCTTTATGAAAACAAAATGAAGCCTCATTTCAAATCTTTGAGCATAAAAAAATCCCAAGATGGCTCTAAAATTAATTTTCAACAATGACTATAAATTTTAAAGCTAAAAAAAGAGGCACAAATCTTATGGATATGTGAACATTTATTTTTAAGGTGAAATGAATGGTCTAAAAATACCTTACAATACACACTACTTTTAGGGCTATAATTTGTTTTTTCCACGACCACAATAGTGAAGGAGATGATCGATTTGAAGGTTTTCTTATGTCAGACTGGAAAGTGAGACTTATTTCCGTGGGGTTATAGCCCTAAATATTTTATAGGTTGGAGGCTTGGAACCCATCAACAAATTTACCCTCTCCCAAACTATTACCAAATTTACTCTATAACTCATCGAGAATTGTAATTCAAGTATTAGAAAACCTTCACATCAATCATCTTGGGGTGAAAATAAAAAAATGATTTCAAGCTCTAAAAATAATATATGTTGTAATAAATTATTTAGATTATCTATTTCGCCTTAAAAATAAGTATTTATAAATCCATAAGATTTGTACCCTTTTTAAGTTTCGAATCTCATTGTCGGTATTATAAATTGATTTTAGTGCCATAATGGAGATTTTCGTAATCCGATGCCAAAAGCGCTCTCAGGACGAGGATTTGAGGTGAGACTTCAATTTGTTTTCATAGAGCCTAGACCTTATAGAGCCTAGGCTCTAAACAATCAAAGTAAATTGCACCTTCAAATAGTATTGAGAAATGTGGTTTCGATACTAAAAATCGTCATGATAGACTTAAAAAATATTTTCATTTTTAATTATAAAATTTATAGCTCAAAAAATAGTGTACATCAAGCAAATCTATGTAAACTTGAAAATCTTGATAATTAACGGTAAAAAAATGCGTTACAAGATGCACTATTTTCAATTTGAACTTATTATTTTTCTTATGTCAATGCAATTTGATGTCGAGATGATCAATTTGAGGATATTTGGGCACTAAAACAACCTTTTATAGTGAAGTTTTTAAAGTAAGCTCTAATTTGATTGTGTTAGAGCATAGGCTTTGTATAAACTTTTGGGAAAATATCTCTTTATTCCTTATTTTTAACTTTCATATCTCATAGACTCAATAATTGAAAATATTACTTATAAACAAAATGTCCCCATCTTTTACATCTTACAACCCCCTGGACCCCTTTGACCATACATTTTTTATCCAAACAAACACTAAAATGGTACCCTATTTAAACTCCATCTCCCTTTCTCTAACTCCATCTGTCTCTCTCTTTGCTTCTCAGTGAGTTTACCAGCCAAGGGGCTTAACTTGAGCTCGAACATGAGCACACCTTATGTATGAGAGAGAGATAGAGTTTTAAAGAGAGATGGAGTTTGGGTTTTAGAGAGAGAGAGTTTTAGAGAGAGATGGAGTTTGAGTTTTAAGGAGAAATATAAAGTTTTGAGAGAGAGACAATGATGTGTGTGTGAGAAAGAGATGGAGTTTCGGTTTTAGAGAGAGATGGAGTTTTGAGAGCGAGACAATGATGTGAGAGAGAGGTGAAGTTTTAGAGAGAGAGAGATAGAGTCGTTTCATAAGTTGCTGAAGTTAATAATACATGGTCAAAAGGGTTTAGGGGGTTAAAAGATAAAAAAGATGAAGTCCTTTTGCTTACAAGTAATATTTTCAATTCTTGAGTCTCATGAGATATAAAAGTTAAAAATAAGAGATAATAAGATATTTTCACTAAACTTTTTCCCTTACAAAACCTCATCCAATAAATAAGGGTGTAGTTGGCATACAGATGCATCCGTAACTGTAGAGGTAAGGTGTACCTTCAAATTTTATTATAGTATATAATTTTGATGTAAAATGTTATTAGGATTATCTCAAAATCTATTTTTATATCTAATTATAAAATTTTAAATTTAAAAAATGGTTAAAATCAAGTAGATATATAAACTTATGAAAATCTTGAAAATAGATGGCGTGGATAGTATGTTGTAAAATGCACTATTTTTTGAAACTTAAAATCTTTTTATTTTTCATGGTTATACCTCTCGATGTTGAGATGACCAATCAAAGGGTTTTTCAACATAAAAACTAGCTTTTTCAATGAATTTTTGAAGTGCATTCGTAATTCCACATTTTAAGGTGGCATCTTTATATAAACTTTTTTCAATAAATAAACTATATTATTCTTTCATGTGGACACGCTTTTCCCTTACATGCCCAAATCCCATTGGTCCACGCTGGCAAGCCTTGGCCTATGATTGGATAATTCAATTTGGCAGCGCATTTTGTTCCACACTTTTAAGAACTTCCATCCAACGCTTCGGCCGTCAGTTCATTCGTGCGTTTAGTATTGCCACCACTGTGTAGGGTGGAAGAATCAATACGAGTAGGTGGAGAAACCAAAAATAGAGCTGCTAATGGGCTCCACCTTCCATTTCGTCAGAGATTTTCATGTCATGCGGCCACTCATGTTTTTAATATTGCACCCAACGCCTTATACAACATGCACTGTCAAGAGTGGAAGTTGGTAATTCCACCCTTGTTTTGGGTGACAAAAATATAAAACAATTAAGTGAACGGCTTAAAGTTGGAGGGCAAATTAGCGCAGTTCTTTATTACTAATTTTTTTTAAGAGCGGGTTTTATCCTAGACAATGATTTGATAGGGCTGCAGCCCTATCAAAATAAATAAAGCTTTATCTCATAATTTAACGAAAATTGCAATTCAAGTATAAGAAAACTTTTTACATCGATCATCTGGGCTTTAACATCATAATTAAAAAAAAATAATGGGATTTCAAATCTAAAAATAGAATAATAATAAATTATCTAGAATATCTATTTCATCCTAAATATAAATGTTCAAAGATCAGCAATATCTGTAAATTTTTTGAATTTTAAATTTTAAAGTCGGTAATGGAGAAATTGATTTTAGAGCTACCGTAGACACTTCGTATGCCTGAAAGTGCTTTCCTGATTTGAGGTGAGTATTTATTTTGTTTTTATAAAGCCTAGGCCGTGTAAAAACTTCTTTTTGATTTTTGGGTAGTTTCGTTACATGTGTACAAGTACTCATCCTATTTTTAATTACGGTTTTTGTCTTTCTCTCCTACGTATATACACAGTTGTACGCATTCCTCTGTTATACGCAATTCCTCCCTTTCTTAACAAGGTTTTGTTTATATATATGTATATTGACATGGTATTTCTCCACTTTTCGGTGATTTTGATCTAGTGGATTGGAATCGAACCAGGTTTTGATTTTTTTCACAGGTGAGTCTCTTGATCATCTAATTTCTGGCTCTTCTTTTGTTATTTTGATCGGATGTTGAAAATCCTGTGCTCAGGAAGGAATAGTTAGTCGTAGAAATTCCTGGTTTATGTTCGTTTTCTCTGAGAAATTTGTTTGATTTATAGACCATTGATGCCCATGTATTATTGATTTAATTTAGCAAATGATGGTAAATTTCGCATTTGAGAATGAGTGGCTTTGGGATCGGTTGTGAATTTTCTGATCAAAATCGGATTTTGGGGCTAGACTTTGTTTGTTCTCTGATTATCTATAATTTGAATCATTTTGCTTTACTTTTCTCTAGATTCTATGGACGATGTTCAATTTTAATCAGTTGCTTGTTGCCCTTGATAGTTGTTTGTTATGTTCTCTTAATCTGAAGGATAAAAAAGTTTAGAGGATTTCTTGCATGATAAATTCTAGGTCTTATTCTGGCTAGGATTATGGAGTTTTTCCAGAAAATTCTTGCAAATAAACACTAACCCTGTAAAAGGAAAATCCTCGGCTTTGTTTTTGAGGGAATTCGAGGCTGTGGCTTCATAGGAGGCCCTAATGATTTGCTTTTTCCAGATTACCGTGAGTTTGTGAGAGAGCGAGTGTTTCATTATTGGTTATCCTTCAATGTTGTCAGCATCCGCCTCTTCTACAACTAGAGACCACATTATCGATGCTTATTAATAGAAAGGTAATGCCTTGTTTTTTTCGTACTTTACTTCTTCGTACTTATTTGGTGTGGATCTCCCGTGAATCTCCTATTTGAAGTTTATAACCTCACTATTCCTAGTTTTTTTCTCTATTGTCATGGGCACATAATAAGACTGGTTATTTTGGTGTCATAGAAAGATATCTGCTGTCAGTTGAGGCTTTTATTTACAGTTTAGTGGGCTGTTTTTCTTGTCTTTGTTTATGAGGTACTTACACTTTAGTAAGTAATTACATAGGGCGTTGTAATTTTGGGCCTTCTTGCTTTCCCTTTGGGAATAGTGGTGTAACAATGTTTGTTTTCTGGGCAATTTCAATGGAATTTGCCTATTCTACCTTATTCACTTGTCTCAGCCCTACGAATTATATGGGAAAATGCTGTTTTGCATTGAACATTGTACATTGTCTTGCATTGAAAATTGTAATCTTGTCATGATCGTGTATGCCCAATTGTCTCTGTGTATCCAAAGTCTCAATTAATTAGAATTAAGGATCAGTTGTCCAGTCTTTTGTATGTTGAGTTTCAGTCTCTTTCCAAATTAGGTGAATATAGTGATTGATAGGTTAACATTCGCCAGTATAAATCCAGTTTTGTTAGAGTTACGACACATTTTTTGCCACAAATATTTTTTCTCTATGCCCTTACACATTGTTTTTAGTCTACATATTGCATTCGATGTTGAATTATTTGTGAAAATAAGCACGAGTTAGATTTTATTATATTCAAGAAATGCATTCGGTGGGATTTCTTTAAGGAACATTTGGATATTGGCTGTGGCGTGTGGGTAGATATTGTAGTATGACCTCTTATGAATGTGTTTGTCTCTTGTGGTTGATAATGTGTTATATCACTGGATTCAATTTTGGTGAGCCGTGAGCAGAAGTCTGAATGTTTCTTGTGAAGGATATAATGGGGATGAGAAAATACAAGAAGTATGAATTTCTTCTTTCATTTTGTGGTCTCTAGTTGTTGTATGTGTTTGTCACTTTATATATGAATGAAAATGTCTTTGAGTGTATCTTATGGCATCTTTTGTTCCGGAGACATTCGAGGGTCTTATCAAGTGCTTTGGTGAACTATTTAACAGAGAATCCTTAGGATAATCAGGAACACGATTTATCCTTATCCAGGTTCCAAATGGAAAGAGAAAAATATCCTTAGCTAACGAATTGGCCGTAGGTGGTCAGGGTAGCGGAGCCAGAACATGGTGTTATCTAGATCAATTCCAAAAGACTCTGAGACTATATTTCTGTGGAAATCTGGGGAAGTCACATAACTGCGAAAATTCATGTTGGTTATACTTTTTAGCAATCTATATTGATCTATCAATCTTTGATGCATTTAATTAACATTAATTAACAAATTATGTCTCAACTCTTTTTTTTTCCTAATTGTAGTTAACTATGCTTCAATAAAAATGAGGTCTTAGTTCACCATGCTTCCCATAGTTTTCTGCAATATATAAGTGTTGAAGTTGGGTATGGGAGTAGATTGAATCGTATTTGAATTTCTTCTATATGATCCAGAAGTTAGCATTCTTTTCAATTGCCTCATATTCTTTTTGTGCTACTGTGTTATATTTGAGGGTGGATTGTGCTTATCTTATTTTTGACTCAATATTTTCAACTACTACTAATACCTGCATATGAGAGCACAATTGTATACTGCTTATATATATATTTGTCTTATCACTGCTGTTTTAGCGTTCTGTCTTCTGAAGTCAATTTTGATTCCAGCAAGTCATAGGGGATAGTTTTTTGTTTTACTTGAAGAAGTCTGAATTTGATGACTTTGTTACTATAGATATTACTTCATTTTGTCCGATAGATATGCATGGAAGTATAAACATTTTGTTTTACATAAAGATGGTTTTGTGGATCTTCATACATATCTCTGGTTCCCCCAGTGGTTCTGTATGAGTCATCTCTGTCATTTTATGCCATTATTTGTTTCTGTTAGTAATATCTTGGAATCCCTCATAATTTCGATCCTTAAAATGGCCATTATTTGTTTGTTTTTGTTTTGGGGGGGGAGGGGAAGGCTTCCCTCAACCCAATTACTAGTGAAAAATTAACTTCTATTATAACCTTCATCTGATGACCAGCCATTATATTGGTTGTTCATATTCTTATCATGTGTCAGAAAACAGAGTTAGTCATGTTTTTGCATGAATTATGCAGTTACAATGCCATTGTTCTCTTGCCTTCCGGCTTTTTCTTCTCTATTAATAGATGGAATATTTAATCTAAGCTGTTCAATGCAAGTGCTTCAAAATTTTGATTCTTTTTCCAGTCATCATACTATATATCTATTGACAAATGTTGGTGGGGTTTGTTGAAGGAGTTACTTGATTTCTTCTAATGTCAGGCTAGATGGGAAGTGAATGATATCAATGTACTTTGTTCAGCACGTATTTCATTAATTGGTCTTTAAGCCACATTTTTTGTTGAAATTGATGCCATGTGATTCCCCATGTACCTTCAAATGGCTCAATTCTCTCAATTGTCATTATTTGCACTAATGCTAAATGAGTGACATAAATGGATCTGTTCTTCTGTCTTCATGTTGAGGTTTCTTGAAGATACATTTGGTATTAGGAGCTCATATTTTTGGAATATGGGGGTATCCAGGGCTGACAAAGAATTAGGGCATGTTTGATAACTGGAAATTGAAAATTCTCTGGAAATTGGGTTTTCTGGAATCCTGAAGTTGGATATTGTGTTGTCTGGAAACAATAAAGACTGTGTTTGATAACCTGCTTGGAATTCTAGGAAGTCTGGGAACCTGTGTTTGATTGATCATGGGAATTGGAAAACTGGGAGACCTGAAATGAGCCAGTTCTAACCGTTCATTAAAGATTTCTTCATAGCATAATGATATTTGTTTAAAGTGGCAGAGATCTTAAAATCAACTAGCATCCACCATGTGTTAAAAAAAGGTGTAGTTTAGATCATGAAAAATAAAGCTAAAAAGTTTAAATTTGTTATTTAAATTATATAATTTATTTTATTTGGAATCTTTCTTCTTCTTTATTTATTTATTTATTATTATCATGACCATATCATATTAGTGCAAGTTTTTCTCTTTATTTGAAAATAAAGAAAATTAGATATTTAATCCCCAACACAAGCAAAAATAACGTTTAGTAATGCATGACGACGGTAGCCACGTATCTACCTACATTGACACAATCACATAAAATTCACTACTCCCATATAAATTTAGAAATCCACCATATATAAGTTCTTCAAATATTGATCGAAATATAAAATCAAAAGAAAACAATAATCCACGACAGAGTGGAAAAGAGAGAATGTGAGAGGGTAGTAAAGAAGAAGCCTAATAAGGGAGACCTATTACGGAATACTGAATAGTTATATAACCAAGAAGCGAAGGCAAACAAAACTTCAACATAGCAATCTATGTGGATAGTTATGCCACATTTGTGCTGCAATTGCATCTCGCGATTTGACACTTTCACTTTGATCCTGAGAATCTTGGGTAAAAGCTATACTGCATTATCCCCCTTGTTTGCATGCTCTCTAAACACTCTTTCTTGAAATCGCAACTCACACCCCTGTTAGCTACGCTCATTATCATAATACCAGTTGCAATGACTATAGAGACTTGTGATTTGTAGGGATATTGCATTTGGTTCCTTATAATAGGAAATCGTGCTTTCCATATCGCAAACGTCCTCTCAACGACATTCCTCAATGATGAATGCCGAAGATTGAATAATTCCATCTCATCTTGAGGAGCCTGATAACCTGTCCCAAAGTCCTTCAAGTGATATCTTATGCCATGATAAGGTGCACTGAAACCTCGCATTGTTGGGTAGCCTCCATCCACGAGGTAATATTTCCCTGAATCAATTTGTTTGAGCAAGTCAGTGAAAAGCACTACTATTCATCAAGCAAGTAATAAGGTATATGAAATATCAAATGATGTTACCTTTAGATAATGTTAATCGGTTAGACTCTCTACCAATTGCATTGTATAAGACCTTTGAATCCGAAGCAGATCCTTCCCATCCTGCTAGTATGTAGTGGAATCGCATGTCGAAGCCCACTGCAGCCATAATATTTTGAGATAATCCACCCTTCCTATTGCGAAAGCGTATATGCATATGGCTATGACCCGTGTTGGGATGTGGGTTCCATCTATTGCCAAAACACAATCCTGTTGAAATGCCATGTCCAATTATCGCCCAGTTCGAATTCAAATCGCATATGCAATCTAAATTGAATGAAGAATAGTTACCTTAAAATATGGGTCGAACTTTTCATCATCCCTGATGTGGGTAGGTGTTTCGCTGCTGGGAGGTTGTAGGAATAGTGGTGCCAATTCAATAATTGCATTCAAAACCCTGTTGAAATAGAAACTAATAGTCTGGCCCGAATGCTGAAAGTGATTTTGAATGACCCTATTGCGCACATCATGAGTAATAGTGTTAAGAAATATTGCTACTTGTTCCTCAACCATTAAATGCCTTGTATTTTCCAGTAGGGATCTCGATCTCAATAGTTCACATAGCCTAAGAAAAGTGTGTGTCTCCATGCGAAGTAAATCAAAACAGTTGCGCTTATGCGATTTCGTTAAGTACTCAACATACTTAGCCCTTGTTTGTTCTATAGTATGGACTTACTTCCTTTGCATATAAGTATTGTGGTACCAATATGCCACACAACACATAACAATTGCAGCATATAACATCATGTTGAAAGTGTTGTGCTCAATGGGATCTATACTTAATTTCTATTTCAATCAAAGGCACCAGTGTTCGCAAAACCGGCCGATCTAACCACTAACTGGCCGGTTAGATCGGAACCGGCCACTGACTGGTTCCAGTTTTGGGCTGTTTTGGTGATCAACCGATATTTTAAGCTTTAAATGAAATACTACTTCAAATTTATTTCAAATACATTAGAATGGTTTATTGGTTAGCTTTGATGGTTAAGTTGTATATGAATCATGGTTCGAATCCCGTCGCCGGCGTGAATTCTCTTTTAAGAATTCATTTCGTTGGTTCAAAAAAAGAAGGTTGTGGTTTCTATAAGTTTGCAACTTTAAACAATCCAATTAAGGCGTACCTCCAAATTTTATCATAACGTGCAATTTTGGTGTAAAAAATTATTAGGATTATTTAAAAATCTATTTTTATATCTAATTATAAAATTTTAAACTAAAAAAATGATTAAAATCAAGTAGATCTATAAATATATGAAAATCTTGAAATTGGACGGTCTAGATAATGTGTTGCACGATGCACTGTTTTTGAGACTCAAAATCTTTTTTTTTTTCATATTCATGCATATCGATGTTGAGATGATCAGTTAGAGGGTTTTTCAACATTAAAACAACTTTTTCCGATGGATTTTTGAGGTGCATATGTATTTCTACATTTTAAAGTTGCAACCTTATATAAACTTTTTCCAAAAAAGAATTCATTTCTCATTGGTTCAAAAAATTACTTGCCCATTGGAATCGAACTAGAATCCTCTCTTAAAGAAGTCCTTTATTATCAGACCCCACTAACCAATACGCCATTTACTACTAAGTTGATAAAAAAAAGCGCCTATATTATATATAACTTGATTTTTTCTTCATTTTCTTTTAAAAAAAGAGTTGGTCAAGTCAAATTTTTTAACACTATTTTAATATTCTTTACATTATAGTAAATATTAAAAAAAAAATTGGTCATTGATACTCACTTTTATATTTTCCCATCTTTTTCAAAAAAAATTTAAAATACCTCTAGGCACAAATCGATTCGTTAAAATCCATTTTTTTTATTAATTTTCAACTTCATTGGAGTGTGTTTTGTTTTAATCACATTCTTTATATGCTTTTTATGTTTTAGTAGATTTTTTTTGTATCTTTTTTATGGCTTTCAACATTTTTTTTATCGTTCGGAACTTGCCCGGTTAGAGCGGTTGAATCGGCCGGTTTATCGGTTAGGCAGGTTAAATCGCTTCCGGGCCAATGTCCGGTTAACCGTTCTGGTTTGATTTTGCGAACACTGAAAGGCACTTATAGAACCCAAATGCGAACCCTATTGAAATCCACATCAAATATCGAAAACATTACTCAGAAGTAATAATAACACCAAATGAAGCCATACACGCATATGAATCCCAAGAAGTTGGAGATCATAAAACCCATCAACATTTATAAAACAAGATTCATAAACTATCTGCGGTCTACAAAAAGAGAAAAGTGCAACCCAAAAGCAATTTGTTTTCCAACTAATCAACCACCCCTCAACCTCCAACTCTGCCCTCAAATACAGGGTCTAGTATTCATAAAACAAGATTTATGAACTATCTGCAGTCTACAAAAAAGAGAAAAGTACTAATCAACCACCTCTCTCAACCTCCAACTCTGCCCACAAATACTGGGTCCGGTATTCAGGTTCCAGAATCATAAACATTTCAGCCTTAGCACTATTCTGGAATAGTTGGGAAGCCTTTATGATTTCATCCTTTCCTCTCTCCCCATTCAGACATAGGTCACTCACAAGTTCCATGCACTTCTTTTTAAGAGCTGTGGATGCTTTAGCTTGGGTGTTTGCATAGTTCCTCATGCTTTCTGCCACTATTGCCATAGCTTCTGCAATTACTTCACATGGGGAGCTCTTCTTCTTCTTTGATCGTGAATTGGGAGTTTGGGATTGAGACCTCTTAGAAGACTCCTCACCCTCCTCGTCAATTTCACCTTGCAGTGAAGAATCGTTTGCATCAACTGGTGGGCCAGTGCTAACTGGCACTGAAGGTCGAACAGTTCCACCCCAGACACACTATCTCTCCCCTCTGCGATTGTTCCACCAAATATCTGTCCACGACTATCAATATCTGGTAAGGATTTGTTATGATACTTCTTAAGCCCATTTATTTCCTTGCACATGCATGAGTATGCAGTTGTCATTAGCAAACATACTATTTTACTAGATGACCTGACTAATAAAAAATTGAGATAGAAAGGGAATAAGGTTATTGTCTTACTGTTATGAAGTCATCCCAAACGCTTGTCTCAGCGGTCACCAAACATCTCGTTTTGTCCCATCCAAATCCAGAGACCTCAATGAGCTTATTGACATCCCAATACAAAGTCCGAAGATTTTTTTGCTTACTCCTTACTCTCTCTTTATCAAATAAATCACCATGCTTGGCTTTCATTTTTTCAACCATTCTGATCCATGTGGCTCTTTGAAACCCCCTTTGACACCCTCATTATTTTTTAATTCTTCTAACATGATTCCAATAAAGGACTTCTCCTTTGTTGGAGTCCATTGGGTGTTTCTCCTAGCTTCTACTTTTGTGGTGTCAGATGAAGGTTGAGGCGTGGAAAATTGTTGAGATTCCATTCCTATAGAAAAAAAGCTCAAGAAGGCCATACTTAAGTGGGTCCAATAAAATTCATAAACAATCACTGGACATATATTTAATCATTCAATTTTGCAAGCACACAAAAGAAACATTTTGATGTGAAGAAATAATTAGGCTGAGCGCTACTTTTTTTTCTTTTGTTTGTGGTTATGTTTCTATGTTTTCATCATCATCAAACGCATAATTTACAAATGATATCATTTACATCTCAATTTTCTTGATAAGTGTCTTATTGGGTCATTCTCTCGTTTAGGAATGAACAGTTGCTAGGATTAATTTTCTTTTCTTTTGGAAAGGAGCTAGCTTCTAATGTCGGACAAGAGTAAGGAGTAGAAAGAGAGCAGTCACTAATTAAAGAGCGCAAAGGGGCCCGTTAGACTACTTGAGCAGGTGGGTTCAAACCCATGGCTCTCGCTTTTGCTGCAGCCTTGTGGTTGTAGGATCAAACCCGTCTTACCCACCAAAAAAGAAAAAGGATTAGTTGAATTGGTTGCATGAAGGTAGGTATCACGAAGAGACTAACACCCATAGCCCCAAATCTATATCCTGTTGGCCATTATTTCTCTTCTGCAAATGTACAACACTGTGATTTAGCTTAGCAGCAACACATTAAAGCATCAATGTGATTTTGGCCTTTAGAGATTCTCCCTCTAGGTTACTCTAATAAAGCATCATCAAAGTGAAAAACCAACATAGTTTAGTTACTTCCCCATTCTGATGCACCAAATTTGGGGACAAACAACAAAAATAACAGACGATAGTTCCTAAAATCAATTCAACCTAATGCAAAGAATTAAACCCTATATATTCTCAGGAATCATTGTCAAAGTATGGCTGCAATCCAAAATATATAGAAGACCCAAAATTCAACAGTTATTTGCATCTAATACATAGAAAGAATCGCTACTTTCACAGTCTATAGGAAATTAAAATTCCAAACAATAAAAAATAAAGAAAAAGGAGAGATCAGATGGAATTTATTTAAAGAGAAAACTGGCAAGAAAAAAGGAAAAATCCTATTTTAATTCAAATAAAGTGCTGAAATAGAGGGAGAGAGAGGGGCCTTTAATCAAGAAAAGAGCGAAATAGAGAGTGGGGCTTTAATCAAGAGGGGAGCTGAGAGAGAGAGAGAGAGAGAGAGAGAGAGAGAGAGATCCACACCTGACAATCGATGCCCTAGTTTGAGCTTTGGTTCTCAATGGCGATGGCAAAGAGAGGTAGGTGAAAGAGAGCACAGCGTGGGAAAAGAGGGTGGGTGAAAGTGATTTGAGATTTTTATCAGGGCCTTATTCAGCCTTGCCTGTCAACATTCACGGGTTGTTTCCAAAATTTTATCTTCCATGTTGGGGGTTGGAACTAGCGGTATCCTTATTTGAGGTTAAGGGAAGTTCCAATGATAGTAATTACTGTAGTACTTCAAATTAACAAACACGAAATTGTTGTAGAAAATGAAAACATTGTTTCCAAACCAATAAATCCTAGTTATCAAACATGCCCTTAATATGGCTTTTGCGCCACCAGGAGAAAAGAAATAATTGTTTTGGCAGTTGAGAACAAGAAGACTTTCTATTATAGAAGGAAATGACCAAGTTTTCTAGGTTTTAGCTGTACTGGTTCGTGTTTACTGTTTTCATATATTATGGTGCTCTGTATCTTGATACTTATGTCTAAGTTCCCTATTCAGTGGACTATGACATTTCTCTTGGAGAAATCTTTCTATTTTCTTAGGATAATGAGCTTCGTAAGATAATGATAGTTATGTGCAAGTGCCATGCTGGTCCCAAGCTCAGGTAAAGGAGGAGAGTTGTGTTAGGTAGGCAGCCAGCGTAAACCTTTGCCGCAACTTTTCATGAATCTTGAATCTACATTATTTACTAATGCTAGGATGTTCCCCGTAAGTGATGCGTTGTATTGGTATCTAGGTATAGTGAGAAATGGGCAAGTGTTAGCTGGGGCATTTCTTATAAGTGACACGCCACTGTACTGCCTAGTTGTGGTGAAATTAAGCAAGTGTTCTTGCGATCTTTTGGACGCGTGCGGATAAAGAAGCTAGTTCAAGAGAAAAGGCTTCGTTTAACAACATAATGTGGGAACACTAACAGCTAAGAGTATGGACATGGTGGCTACAATGAGATGAAGGAGTGTAGACATAGCTTGCTTACAGTAAACTAAGTGGAGAGGGGAAAAAACTAAGAAAATTGATGGGTATAAACTTTGGTATAAAGTAGTTAATGTCAAGAGAATAGGCAATATGTTCCTATTAATTAAACTTGTATTAGGAGAGGAGATAATTAATATAATTAGTGCTTATGTGCCATAGGTAGGACTAGAGGACAAAATTAAAAGACAATTTTGGGAGGACATGAATGGACTAATCTAAGATATATCATATAGAGAGAGGACTTTTTTAGGAGGGGACTTAACTGGTTATGTAGGGAAGGATAGTAGGGGATATGAAGGGGTACATGGGAGATAGAGTTTCAAAGAAAGAACTGAGATGAGTGACACTATGATAGATTTTGCTATGGCTTATGACCTAGCAATAGTAAACACCTACTTTAAAAAGTTAGATGGACATTTTATAGCTTATAAAAGTGGATCATATAAAAGTCAGATAGATTTCTTCCTAGTTAAGAAGGTAGATTTACTGTTATGTAAAGACTGTAAAGTTCCCAAGAGAGAGTTTGACCACACGATACAGGGTTGTGGTTATGGATGTTTGCATAAAGAGGTGGAAGAGGAGTGAAACTAATAGTTGTCCAAGACTAGGTGGTGGAATTTAAAAAAGGAAAAAATAGACTTATTTAGGGATAAATCGGTAAAAGAAGTAAAATGGAACTCTGAACACTAAGATAGTGTTATGTGGAATGAGATGGTAATTGTATTAAGTGGAAAAAAAAAAAAGTTTTAAGAGAAACCAGAGGGACAGACATATCGAGAATGAAACTTGGTGTTGGAGTGATGATGTTCAGGAAGCCATTAGCGAAAAGTGATCATGTTATAAAACTTGGCAATGTAATAGAAATGATCAAAGCATAGAAGAATATAAAAATGCTAAGAAAATAGTATGGCTAAACTCAAAGGCATATAATAATCTATATAATAAATTAAGAACAAGAGAAGGTGAAAAAGATGTCTTCGAAGTTGCAAATATAAGAGACAGGAAGTATAGGGATCTAGACCATATTAAATGTGTTAAGAGTGAGGATCAAAGGGTCTTGGTGAAGGATGACAGAGTCAATGAAAGGTGGAGAGTTTATTTTAAAGAATTGTTAAATGATGAACACAATGGGAACGCAACGCTAGGAGGAACGTTTGCCATAAACGAGGGCGGAGGTCATAGGTACATTCGGAGTATTAGGATATTTAAAGTGAAAGAAGTTTCGTAGACGATGAATATAGGAAAGACTTTAGGATCGGATGGTGTATTGATAGAGGTTTGGAAGTGCATAGGGGAGATTTACATATGCTGGCTGACCAAGCCGTTTAACAAGGTGTTGGAACAAAGAAAGTGCTAGACAAATGGAGGAAAAGTACTATGGTACCTATTTACATAAACAAATGAGACATATAAAATTGTGCAAACTATTGACGGATCAAACTTATGAGCTGCACTATGAAGCTGTGGGAGAGAGTGATTGAGTCATGATTGAGGCATGAAACGAGTGTATCAAACCATGAATTTGGTTTTATGCAAAAGAGTTCAATAATTGAGGCCATTTACTACTTGGGCAACTGATTGAGAAGTTATGGGAGAAGAGAAAAGACCTCTATATGGGCCTTATTGATTTAGAAAAAGCTTACGATAAGGTACCTAGAAATTTAATTTGGTGGGTGTTGGAAAAGAAAGGAATCTCCAAATGTTATATTGACAAGGTGAGAGATATGTACGACGGAACACTAACTAATGTGCGGACAACTAGGGGAGAGACAAGTGAGATTTCAATGATAATAGGTCTACATCAGGGGTCAGTGTTGAGCCCATATCTCTTTGTTTTAATTATGGACGAGTTAATTAGACACCTTCAAGATGAGGTACCGTGGTGTATATTGTTCATGGATGATATAGCGTCAATGTAAAGTTAGAACTTTGGAGGGATGCTATAGAATCTAAAAATTTTAAATTAACTGGACTAAGATAATATCTGGAATGCAAATTTAGTAATAATTGGAGTAGATGCAAGGAAGTAATTAAGGTTGATGGCCAAGAAATGCCTAAAAGAGAGCATTTTCAATATCACGGGTCGATAATCCATAAAAATAGAGAGATTGAGGAAGATGTCGAATATAGAATTAGGGCTGGGTGGGTGAAGCGGAGATGTGCATCTGGAGTTTTTGTGATTGCCGCATACCAATAAAACTGAAGAGGAAGTTCTATAAGACGACTGTGAGACCTGCTTTGCTTTATAGAATAGAATGTTGGGCGGTCAAGAAACAACATACCAATTGGATGACTGTAGCTGAGATGAGATGTTGAGATGGATGGGTAGCGAGACAAGAAAGGATAGAATTTCAAATGGATACATTCGACATAACTTAGGTGTGGCTTCAATAAGCGATAAGATGAGGGAAAGTAAACTTAGGTGGGCGGGCCATGTGCAGCGTAGAACTATTACAATACTGGTTAGGAGGTGTGATTTGGTTCAAGTGGAAGGCTCTAGAAGGGCAATGAGAAGGCCTAAAAGGACATAGATGGAAGTAGTGAGAAAAAATAGGTGACTTATGGTCTTGCTGGGGGTAATGACCCTTGATAGAGCAGAATGACAGAACATGATTCATGTAGCTGACCC